GAACAGAAGCAACGAAAAACATTAACATGAGCAGCGACCAATCAGCAGTAGTTTAAATGAGTAGGAAGTGAATAATAAATTGTTTTTGATTAAATAAATGAATAATAAAATAACTGAATGCCTGCTTAGTTATTTGTAATATCTATTGAGATCAAAAGAAATGCTGGAGATCATAAGAGAGCATAGGCCATAGAGCTGCTGCAAACCATACCATGGTTAATTTGATTAGCTTAACAAACAAACATAATGAATGAAGTGTTACCATGCATCAATATCAATATCCACTCAGAGGATATTACCATTCACCACTGGGCTACTTACTGCCAGGCTGGCATTGGACTTGGTGAGGTACACCACTGATGGGTAGAACTGTTTCTTCTGGTAGAAGGCATTGCCAACCACAGCTGCAGTGAGCAGCACACTCAGGGAGGCTATCAGGGAGGCATTCATAGTGGCTGCTTTTGCTGCTTGCCTGGAGCTCCTGTCAAGTGAAAAAGGGAATTGTAAGATGACTTAATCAGTGGCATGTGTCAATGCACTTCACAAAATTATGTTCATCCCTATAAGTGAAAGGGAAATATTCATTATGACCATAATATTAACTACATAATATTAACTAGTATCAATTACATGCAAGGATAAAAATCAAAGTTATTGATAAAATTATTACTATGATTTGATTTGATACATGATGATGATTTTATCCAAAGTTGTGGGCCTGTGGCATTTGAGAATCAACAGACAGGAAAAGATCATTGGGGCCAGAGCAGGGACGATGGGTAAAATTACACACCAGCTGAAATTGGTAATCATATGCAGTTTCCAGGCTTCAGATTTATGGAGCTTATCATGGACTGGACTTGCAATTTATAAACTCCCTAACAATATAACATGTCTAATCCTCTAGGAGCTGGGGCTATTATGTGGCCAATTCTTATCAGCACAATGCTAATTGCTAGTTACGTTTTGAATGAAAGCTACCTACTAACACCCCTCTCAACATCCCTTTGGTGATCACTGATCAGTGCATGTCTACATGCTTAGCTGTTCACCAAAAAAAGATAAGAGAAAAGTCAGAACAATGCAAAAATAACATTAATGCAAAAACAAAATAATAACAAATATTAATAGACAATGGAAAGCCAGCTGTTGAAAAAGACGACGGAACAGCCCGTATGATGACACAAATAGGTCCTGATTCCTGAAGTATTTTAACACTCATCAACTATGACATATTGATATGTGCAGAATGTTCATATATTGTGTGAGGAATAACCATCCAAAGATAACAATTGCAGCATGTAAAAATATAAACAGGCAAAGAAGCTGTAATGAAAACAAACTTACCTCAGCTCAATCTATTTGGGGTTGATGTCTGTTAGGCTCAACTTCCACTAAGCTTATGGAGGATTTAAACACATTTCAATTTCAAGAGCATTTTTATCTGGTACTTTTCATCTTGAAGGCGTATATCCGCCAGTTGTTGAATTTTGAAATATGTCCCTGCGGGGGCAGCTCTGGTCAAAGTTCACTGTTGCAGGTCACAGCAGGTGCTTTGGAAGCCAGCGAGAGTTCACAAGCGATACAGAAAACCACAAGCCAGATGAATTTCATAAATTTCTGTCAACAAGTTTCCATTCTTTAACTTCCTCAACCTAATAAATGATGCAGACATATGTCATATGTGTCTGACTCCACAACAGAAAACATTTGCGACAAAATATGACGCAAATAAGTAGCAATACTGTTCAATATCTCATAAGTGCATCCAGTTGCCTAGCAACTACTCAATATTACGGGTGCGGTTATTTTTTCTCATCTTAGTTTGCTATTTTGGCGCGATTTTGACAATTTCTGGCGCATTCCACTTATTTACTTTAGCGGCCATAGGGCAATGGTTTACTAACGGGAGATGTGATGATTTGCAGCAGCAATACTTGAAATACAAAGAAGTGAAGCAATTATGATACCTATTATTTTTTTATAATGACAGAAGTAACGTGGAAGAGAAAACATTTTGTGCAGCATGTGAAAACAAGGAAATAGAATGAAAGAAGGGCTACTACTTTTCATGCGTCCGAAACCAGCCACCTCATCATCATAACATGGTAATGATAGTTTAAGTTTATGTTAAAAAAGAATAGGAGGTCTTTGTGATGCCTCAAAGCAATTAAGTCAGGCATGCTCTTACAGACTTAACGTTCAAGTTACGAGACCCCATCATACCGCTCCAGTGGCTGGTGCTTGAGCTTGTCAAATACCTAAATGTTTTGCTCAGAAATTGTTTAATTTATTGGTTTCTTGAGTTTCACCAGATAAAGATACAAGGTTGGCTGATTTGGTTTTAGTTATCCATATTAAAGTGCACTGTTTGTGACAAGATTATGGAAATTGTAACCTCAATAATGAAATTTCATGCTGTCAAAGCTATGAGATGTTGCCTTGAGTTTGAAAGCAGGCAAACATGGATTGAAGCTGTTTTCTAAAAAAAAACTGCTTTTTAGTGACTTTCACCTCATAATTTGTATTTATTCAATCTCAGAATGGGAGCAAGGCTGAATCACAATTATCTTTTGGGAAATGCTCTACAAAACTGCATTGTTTTTATTTCTGTGGCATAATTTTGTACCTAATTCAAAGACTTTCTCTGGTGTAGTTTGTAAGATTGTTTGAACTTCTACTTTCTGACCTGTTTGGTGCCAATAAATCCTGCAACCTATTTGGCTTATTTACCCATCTCTCTTGCCATTCCTACATATTTCATGTCAGTCTATTGCATAAATATTGTGTAGTTAACATTCTTCATGATATAGAAATGAATGGTACCTATAGAGGCTCGATGTGGGTAAATGAGAACCAATGAACCTATATTTTTTACAATGGCATCAAGTCCTCTTGTCACTGCCATGGATATCACAGAAGATTTTGCTGAACTGCGCAAGAGAATCCTGTGCAAGGAAATGTTTTGCATGATTTAGCTTAACAGCATAAATTTTATTTTCCCAGTTGCATTGGAGCTCTGCTGGAGTTTGCTGATGACAGTATGCTGAAGGGCTGAAGCTGGTAGCTCTGGCAGGAGTCCAGTGTCCACCAGCTCAAGATCCGACGCCGCCGCGTCGCCGCCGTGCGGCACTCCGCGGAGACGGGGACGGCGGTCATGATTGAAGACACCGCATTTCCCGCCTGGACTGTCCGGTCGGAGACTGGTAATCCCTCCGGTGAGCCGCGCACCGTGGAGCTACTGCACCGCGCGTCTCCACCCGCAGCGCAGTGCCAGCAACGGTGCCGTGAGTGCGACATCTGCGTGCATGTGACGCAGTGCGACTGTCACGACTCGCGGCTCAGTGTTAACTGTCAGTGGGACAGTGCGGCTCGCGCTCGTTTTAGCGAGGTGCTCTGTTGTATATAACCACCTTGATGGAGACCTGTGTGCTGCCGCTTGAGTTTCAATGTACAGTTTTATGCATCAAACTAGCGTAAGTAAATGGCTGCTAGAGGTCAATTTGAAGCGCAATTAGTACCCATAACCCAGCTGGGTTGAGCGAGTCATGTGACTAGTCCCGATGAACGTACTGTTTCGATGTCGTCAGTCGTAGACTTTTGTAAACCATTCGTTTCGGAGCTCTGTGTTGTGTTGTTCGGGATCACAGTTGTTTGAGCAGTTTGCTTTATGCGTCGTACGCTGACAGAACGCGGGTCGTACACAAGTCACGTGTTTCCTTTCGCCCCTAATGGGTTACTGCGGTACCTATGCAGTTGGAATGTGTCTCGAGACACTAACTGGTCGCTCTTGGTTGTGAAAATGACACTAGCTGCCAGCTGGTCGCACTTGGTTTCAAGCTGCGCTTGGAAATCGTGCAATTTTATTTGCATTTTGCAATGCAATTTTATTGCCGTTACCGTATTGGTAGCTAGTGTCAGAAGTTGTCCATTTGATGCGTTGTCACTTGTCAGACGCTGTTGCCTTAGTACTGACAAATTGATGGGCCGCGTTTGTGTTCCTTAAGAAACGGATCTCAATATAAGGTGATTCAGAGGTAGGAACCTGAAGGCATTCGTTCAGACCTTTCATTTTATGAGGATGCACTGTTTCATGAGCAAGAACGAGCATGGCTCTGGTTGAGAGAAGCGCAATCGATATTTGTTATCATGTTTGTAGACTGTGGCCACATTTACATCACTATTCAACTCCACGCACCAGCATTATTTAAACTGCTTGAACCTATACTTCATTTCGCTAAATTTCGGGGGCGTCAACCTACGGTCCGTGGCCGTTATGTTTGGCCAATAACTAGATTTTGTACATATTAACTGGTTCATATAATCACAGCGTGATGCCCCGGACAATTTTTATTTGATTCACTGATAATGAATGTATCCCAATACCGCACAAACTGAGACTAAAACTGGACAACTCGCTTTTCGAGGTTCAAGTTCATTATCTTCAGATGTTATGGTATGGTAAGCTAAGCATTTAATGTTCGAAGAAAATGGTCAGCGTTAGCAGTGCTGAGCGGGTATTATGAGCTTTCAGTTATTTCAATATTTGTTTAGGCTATTATTCTTTTGGTATCTCCTGTCAATTTCACGCGGAACATATAGTATTATCATACGATCGCGGTAACTACATATTTTCTGCCGGTTACTGTTATTATCATTGATTCGTAATATTTCGCTACGAGCGTGGCTCGATTAACATTGTTATTATATTGGCATTCAATATTTAAGAATAAAAATCTTTTAATGCATTCCAATTCCATCGAAATGTCAATATGCAAAAAAAAGCTCTAAAAATTGCAGCAGTTTTGTGAATCAAAAATAGCTGTAAAATAGGCCTGTATAACTTCAACAACAGTGCGCCGAAAAACGTCTAAAAACGCGTAAACAAAAACTAAGATGTAAAAAAATAACTGCACCCAATATAACTCGATATCATTCATTCGGAGAGCTAGTTGCCTAGCAACAACCTGCTAATAACAGCCTTTATTTTCTTTTCGAACAATGACGTGCCTTGTGATGAGTCGTCCGAGTCGTCCAGTTACCGTTCTGACATCTATAGACAAAAGAAGTAACTATAACTTTTATGACGCTCAAGAGAGGGGTACATGTTTTAAAGTTTTGGTGAATGCAGTTTGACTGGGCTGGTTTGACTGGAAATTGAAATTGTTTGGCGTTCCGCGCTGAATGCTCAGCAAGATTATCAATTTACTCCAGAAACCGTCAAACTTATGGCGCCAATGGTGATATCCCCGCTGGTGCCGCAAATTGAACTCTTGTTACTGGGACAGATTTGGCATTTCAATTCGGAACGCTGAAGCCAAGGAAGACTTCTAAAAGGTATGGCGAATAACTAATAAGGCTTTAGTTTTGATTTTGGAGAAGCCCTGCCTTAGGGGTGTTCACGGGCACCGCACACTGCTGCGTGCGGTGTGTGCGGTACGTCCAGCAGGCGTGGGGGTAGGGGATGGGTAGGCGGCTCTGACGTCACGGCTGCGTGCGGTGGACGGTCCGCTGTGGCCAGTCACGACCGGCCACAGCGGTCGCTGTGTGCGGTGACGCAAGGCTGACGTAGGGACGCAGTGGGCGGAGCTTGGAGGCTGTGTGCGGTCCGACCGCACACAGGGTCCGTGAACAGCCCTCTGGTGTGTGTGCTGTATGATAACATACTGAGGCCATTTTACCAACAGAAAAATAGCCGCCTGTCGGATTTTTTTTCCTGAAGACCGCTTCACATACGGAGCGTAATTCGTAAAACGCGATGGGCACGTAAGCGCGTTGCCGGACAAAATTTCGTCTGACATTTTTTCGTCGGACAGTTTTTCGTCCGCGTATTTACAAATTGCAACCGAGCTCCGCCGTGGGGTAAGGTGGGCAGGGGTTTTCGCACTACGGCTGCGGTTGAACTACCGTCTGTGGTAGAAACTTCAGGATGATGGCGCGTTTCATACGAAATGTGGCGCAATGTTTGTTTGCTTCTGAACTTGTACTGTTATTGTTGTGAATTCTTGAATTGGGAGTGTTTCGATAACAATTTGTGGATTATTTGAGTTTCTTTATATAAACATAGAATAGTATTATGAAACATTGTGTGGAAACTGCAAATACTGATATGATCAATTACTTAGTTTGCGAATTGATACACATTTTGTAGAGATTTGTCTGGCAAATGGTGTAACAAACCTCAAGCCTATCATGATCTGAAGCTGTTGTAACAAATCAAAATTGCTTTGGTGTTACATAGTACCTTGTTGGAAAGACTGGAGCATGGTTCAAGATGATGTGTAAAAATTCAAGATTTGTGGGAAAGCTTGTGACTGAAGAACGAAAACAGTTCTATATGATGGCTCAATCAAACATGGAAATGGACGACAAAAGTAGAGTTTCAACATTCCAGCATGGGAGAATAACTTCAGAAATTCATAATTCTTGTAGTATTGCATTCTTCTTATGTACAGTTATAGGTTTTGTTAGGGTATTTGAAATTCATTGTGTCAGTTGAGATATAGATGGATTGTGGACAAATTTTAGAATCATTGCATGGTAGCTAGGTATAAGGTATTTGTTCGGTAAAAAGATATGTGATGAATGCCATGAGAAGGTTTTTTATGATTTAATATATGGTCGTTGTTGCCTACCTACAAAAATGCAAGCTTACTAGCAGCTAGTTTCTGAATCAAATCGAAAGTATTTGCCATGAATGTAAATATGTATCTGCAAAGTATGTCAATAAATTTGTGTGATGTTGACCAGAGAGCTTTATCATCTGGGCATTTATGTCGCTTCTTACATTAGGTGTTAAGCATAGTAATTACGGATGAACTTTGTGCCAATATCTTCAATGCACAATGTATGTAGCATGTCTACAACCCTCACTGATCCTGCTATAGCTATAGGCATTTGGCACCAGCAAGACCAAGGGCATGAACTTCACAATTGCTCAACCTTTTGTCATGTACCACCAGTCACTTTTTTACTTAAGGTGCACATAGCAGTGCACACAACAATGTGCAGAGGGCCTACACAAAAACAACATGATTAGTGTGCACTATGCACAGGATTGTACCCTGATTATTTGAATATTTTGATCACTCAACAGTCAACAGTCAGGAGATAATTATTAAATATCACATTTATTATACATCACTTGTCAAACAAGAGCATGATGACACACATTTTGACAAGCAATCATGGTAGTATTCCAATAAGTTGGACAGTCATCTCCCTGGGCGTCATTTTTCCAGGAAGGTACCTCTGCAGGTGTTGTGGTAGGCTAGGTTGAATTGGGTCAAGTTAGGCGAAGTAAGGTCAGGTGGTTAGGACCCGGTCAGACCGTAAGGGCTTGTCAGGTTGATTTTAATCTTTCATTCTAATTTGACATAGATATACATTACCTATGTTTTTGCTCCAGCCTGAATTTCATTAGGTAATGAGTTAATTTTGCTTTGTTTTTATCAGGGCTGCGGAGTTGGAGTCGGAGTCGGAGTCGGAGTCGGTCGGAGTCGACAGTTGTGACCGGAGTCGGAGTCGGAGTTGGAATCGATTTTAGAAACCCGAGCCGGAGTCGGAGTCGGAGTCACCGAAAATCTGTCGACCCCGCAGCCCTGCTAGGTCTGCAGAGTCGGAGTCGGGAGTTGGAGTCCGTCGGAGTCGACAATTCTGCCCGGAGTCGGAGTCGGAGTCGGAGCTGGTTTTGAAAGCCGGAGTCGGAGTCGGAGTCGGAGTCGCCGAAAATCCATCGACTCCGCAGCCCTGGTTTTTATCTGTCTTGTTGTGTGTTTTTGTTCCTTATATTTTGCCCCATAGGCAAGGGTGGAGCTTTTCCAGGGAAGGTGGTGGAGCATGATTGGAGGCGCTCAACCAGACGGCATAGGAGGGCACGGTTTCTGAACGCGCACTGATGCCTGATTCAAGCCACGCTGTCTTCATGCGTGGCGGCGCGCTACTTAAAAGTCCCTGAAAGAACGGGAAGTGATGCCGATAGAACCTTCAATCATTCTGGGCTAACGCTTATCACTTGGAAAAAGTCGCGATCCCAATTCAATCGAAAACCTGTGGGCTCTTGTTTAGCAGGAGGTGTATGAAGAGCCACCCGCCATAAGCACTGCTCAACCGCAGGCACAGGTTTAGACGGCGTTGGTCCGCATCAAAGCCAGTGTGCTTGAGAATCCATTGGCGGAAATGCTCCAGAACATTCGCCACTGTGTGGGTTTCTCATTTCCTCTCTGACTGTCCTTTGAAACCACTCCAAAGATATGCAGAAACCAACGAGGTGAGTAAACTGTGTTTTTTATGAAAGGTAGCTACAAGCTCAGTTAAAAGAAAAAGTACCAGATTGTTTTGTTTTTGCAGCGGGAAGAAAGGTGTCCGGATAATTTCGTTACACCCCCTGTCAGGGCTGCGGAGTCGGAGTCGGAGTCGGAGTCGGAGTCGGAGTCGGTCGGAGTCGACAGTTGTGACCGGAGTCGGAGTCGGAGTCGGAGTCGATTTTAGAAACCCGAGCCGGAGTCGGAGTCGGAGTCACCGAAAATCTGTCGACTCCGCAGCCCTGCTAGGTCTGCGGAGTCGGAGTCGGTCGGAGTCGACAATTCTGCCCGGAGTCTGAGTCGGAGTCGGAGCTGGTTTTTGAAAGCCGGAGTCGGAGTCGCCGAAAATCCATCGACTCCGCAGCCCTGCCCCCTGTGATGTTCAAATGGTTGCTAAATTCGAAATCAGCTCCAAAAACTAGCCTAGAAACATGTAAAACTCGAAAAAGTGAACCGAGGTCATCAAAGGTCATTGAGCTGACCTGACCTTCAGGTGACCTTGACACCCACCCTAATGCATGGGACCAGCATCATATCACATGTCTCAACGCTTGAAACCACGTGAAGACTGCAACCGCGCGGCTAATGCGAGCCGACATACGCCGAATCGCGATTTGGGCCAAACATGGTCTCGAGAAATAGGTCACAGGTCAGAGGTCATTTGGGTCAGGGTCATGAAATTTTCAGGGTAGGTGTAAAATTGATAAAATCGGGGGTATTGAAAGTTTCGTCGCGATCGGACGGTTTTTACGCGAGTTACTCACGAAAAGCCGATAAAGCGCACCCAAAAAGGCAGAAATATGCACATGCGATATCCTATACTGCGAAAAAAGGTGCATCATTTTTGAACGTCGCCGACAAATTGTAATTACCCTAAGCTCAGGCAGATGTATGGTAGAAAATCCCCCAAGTGAAATAAACTACGGCGGAAATAAAATACCCTACGGCGGAGCTCGGTTGCAATTTGTAAATACGCTTTTCGTCCGCAGATTTTCGTCCGACTTTTTTTCGTCTCGCATTTTTTCGTCTGTACATTTTTTCGTCTGTGCATTTTTTCGTCTGTACATTTTTTCGTCTGTACATTTTTTCGTCCGGACATTTTTTCGTTCGTATATTTTTTCGTCTGTACATATTTTCGTCCGGACATATTTTCGTTCAATAAATTTTACGTCTGTGCACCCAAGGTTGAGTGAAAACATACTACAATGCTATTCAACTGTGGAGGCAAATGACGTCATAATAATACTCGGGGCGAAGCAGTGCAGTGCCGAAGTCAATGCCTTAGGAGAGATTACAGGCAATGGTAAGTCAAATATTTTTAGGTTAAGTGGTTGTGTATCTGGCTTCAGGCCGAAGGCCTGAAGCCTGATGCATAACCACTTAACCTAAAAATATTTGACTTACCATTGCTTGCAATCTATTCATGCAAGTAACTTTTTCCTTATCCCCCGGTAGGCAAACATCAGTAGGTATAAGGTTAGGTTAGGTTAGGTTAGGTTAGGTTACGTTACGTTACGTTACGTTACGTTACGTTACGTTACGTTAGGTTACGTTACGTTAAAATTGTAGACGAAAAAATGTCCGGACGAAAAAACGCACAGACGAAAAAATATACGAACGAAAAAATGTCCGGACGAAAAAATGTACAGACGAAAAAATGTACAGACGAAAAAATGCACAGACGAAAAAATGTACAGACGAAAAAATGCGAGACGAAAAAAAGTCGGACGAAAATCTGCGGACGAAAAATTGTCCGACGAAAATCTGCTGGACGAAAAACCGTCATGGAATCCGTAAGCGGTTAGCGGATAGGGCTTTATTACCGTTTACGTTCCATATGTGAAGCGGCAAAAAATTCCGGCAGACGGCTATTTTTCTGTTGGTAAAACCCTGATTGTGATGTGTGCGTACGGGGATGTGTGTGTGGTGGTGGTGGCCAAGTGGTGGCGAGGTGGTGGTGGTGGTGGTGGGGGGGGGGGGGGGGGGCGTGCGATGTTGGTGAGGCCGGTGAGGCCTAGGGTAGGTATACGCCCAGGAGCCACACGAGTTTCCATGATGCGTGCTATTTTGACGTTTCGCTAGATTGAGTTGGTACCTAATTCGTAAACATCTACCCACTGTGGTAACACTGGGTGGGTAACCCACATCTACCTTAGTAAATACCTATTAGGCGTGCTCATGTGTATTATCGGTTGGCACGGTTGGTACTTGCACACCATGTGCTACCATGGTAGCACAATGCACTGGTGGATCCATTTTTGTCCGACGACAAGGTGGGTGGAAGACCGTTCTTCGGCCGTCCCTTGTTTGCAGAGCTCCGCCGATAGATGGTAGATGCTCGGGTATTTATCGCCATGGCCGAGCTGTCGCATTCATCGAGAGACCTGGACCCTGCAGACCCTGCAGCGCAGCAACACCTTTGTAGCTGATCTCTGAGAAGGCCGTATTGAGCAGCTACGATGTTTCTCACTTCTTAGCACTCCGTCGAGATGACAATGCTCCTCAATCCTCATCCTTCAGCTGCCGAACACTCACCACTGTCAATAAAATCCCTCAGATGAGGATAACCGGCGATCGTATTCTGTGCATATTCCAGAGACTGAGACGCTCTCAGCCCTTGCGAAGAACCGCACACTGGCCTTTTTTGATGGGGGTGGATGAAGGACTGTCCTCTGCCGAGGACCAAATGGACGTTCGCCCTGTCACTACGATCGAGCGGGCGACTCCCAGCGCGGCGGTCCGCTCGACAGCAGCCCTCAGCCCGGCTGGATGGCCGGTATCGCGAGCTAATAGCTCCCGTCTCCCCAGTGCCGGGAGAAGAGCCCTCGAGCGCTGTCTACGTGTCCTGCGGTTCGGCGCTGATCACTGGTCCTCACTCCTCACCTTCGGCTAGTTCCTTCTCCGGATCCCAGTCAAGAACCTACGACTTCCTACTGCGAATCGCTCAGCCTCCTTCAGCGGCCCTGCGAAGGTGAAACGCCGGCACCGCGACTCAGTGCGAGCTTAGCCAGGAGGAGGCAGATAATTGCAAGTAAGGCAGGGCTAAATGGCATATCTCGTTCTGCGTGCGTAGTGCGTGCGTAGGGGGTAACCCTGCTTAGCTGCCGACTCCGCCTTGTTGGGCACAATCTATTCAGCACTTGGGCATACCGCAAAGGTATAGGCATTTTACGTGAGTTGCTTACGTTTAGGTACTGAATGAACCGTGGACCTCTTTCCCTACAAATGCTACAAGTCAAGTGTGTTGTATTTTTATGGCGTAACGTTTGCAAAACTCATTCATCTGGATATTCCAGTAAATGCAGGAGCCTTGTTTCCACAGGTAATTTCGCACCTTTGTAAAAGCTGGTGGGCAGCGGGGGACAGTTTCATTGGTCCGTTTGTGATTCAGCAAATCCGCAATCCACAGCATTCTGCATTCCAGGAAAGTGCTGTGCCGGGCCTCGCGCTCGCCGGGGCGGTTTTGCGCCGTAACTTTCCTGGTGGTGCGGGGCGTCGTTCCACCACCTGACGGTTGTCGCATGGCCGGAGCCGGGGGCGATCATATCCGTGATAGGCAGATGATCCGATCGAATGGGACCTGATCTGAAAATCTTTCCTCGTCGCTACTGGATATACACCTTCAGCGCAAACTGCAAATCAACCAACAACACATCAAACAGAACAGATATCGTGGCGCTTCTACAGAGTCGCCAATCTCCTTATGTGTTTGTCGTTTCAGTAAAGCGGCGGCTCTGCGACCTGGCGCCGGCGGGTTGCCCCCGTCGCGTCGTCTCGGCAGCGGAGGCTGCCTGATGACGTCACTGGTGACGTCACAGTCGCCGCTGTGCCGCTGTGGAGCCGCAGCACGGCGGGCCGCGGGCCGCGGGGGCCGTCAGTGGGCCGCTAGCCGTGGGTGTCGGCGCCGCGTGGTGTGTTCAGTGGAGGACACGAGGTGCCACTCGCGACTAGACGGCGTTCCAGGGAGAGGAGAAGCAGTTCACAGGTAACCACAGACCCCCCACACCTGCGGGGCACTGGCCACTCCGACTCACTGTGCGCACGACTATGTACTGTGCCGTCGATTCACAGGTTGTGACCTTTGAGACTCCTTGGAGGTGGCTTATTTACGGCCTGGCAGTTGTCGCATGCTACGACTGAGGTGCTCTCTGTTGTGTAGGTGTTGTTTTGAAGCGTCCCGAGACCTGAGTTATGATTATTTCTGTCTCACATGTCTGGTGAGCGATCTCTGAAATGTTCGTGTCACGTGCTTCCAACCTACTCCACCCCGCCCTCATTTTATGCTTGTGACGTTGAAATCAGCTGGTTTTCATGCATTTAAATGACCATACGGGCCACATCCATCTGTCTACCCCGCCCGCATGGCTTTCGTGACGATTTGTAATGCGGTTCGGGGTCAGTACCATGACCGAATTGGTGGAGAAACGCTCAACATATTTGGAAAACACAGCCGACTGCAGAGGGAGAAAGGGGCCAGACATCGATAAGGGATGGACAGGCTGCATGGCTGGTGGAGATGGTATACACGTAGGCGGAGATGTGACTCGACTGTCGATGGTGCGGAGCATGTGGTGTCAGCGAGGGAGTTCAGCGCTCACAGCCGAGTGATGCTGTGAGTTGTCAGCTGCGGGCCGCCTATCTCCGGCTATCACGGGTGCGGGTAAACACAGCCGGTGTTGTGCAAGACGTCAGGTGCACCGGGCGCCCTCTGAAGTACCGCCTCTGCAGGTACCCACTGTTTGGGCGTGCAGCAGACGGACAGACAGCGCGCGGCTCACACGGGTGTCCGTCGCAGTTCTCCCGTCCCTCCTCCCCGCCCCTCCCCACGGGCGCCTCTGAGCCGCACCCTCTCTCATCTCCCTCCCCTCCTCCCCCCGCCTCCTCTCTCGTGTCGTCGGAGAACGACGATCGTCGCCGCTCCAGCAAATGGTTCAAGGTCGGGTGACAGCGCCACCGTCGCACGCCCCAGTCGTGAGACGTGCGCCCTGGAATAACAAACCGGTCTGGGCTGGCGGTGGCGGCACCCAGGTCGCCTTGGAGGTCAGCTCACGTGTTGGGCGAGAGTGGGCATTCCCTACTCCGGCCCTGTGCCTCCGCTCGCTCAAGCTGCTGTGATAGCTATTACCTATTTTCGCTGATCCCCGTTTGGGTGAGGTCTTCCAAGTTCCAGTTTGTCTCCTTGTGTGTCCACTGTCCATCCATGCCGTGAATTGCATAGGACCTTGTGCCTCTCTGCAGTCTGGGGTCCTTCATCTGACCTCCCAGCCGCCCGCTTCCTTCCTTCGGCCATCATTCACCACTCTTTTCCTCCCTCCTCTGCCTCTCCCGTCTGGGTCAGTGGCGCGACGAGGCTGCGCTATGACAGGTTTGGTCGGCCTGTCTGTGCTCTGGGACAGAGCTAGGTGAAGGTCACCTCCGTGCTCAGCAAGATGGTCCACACTTTTAGTTCCACACTTAAGTTCATGCCAGCTTCTCTGGACTCAAGTGCCTCGACTGGTGTGCTTTCCTTCGGCCATTACTGAAACGATAGATACCTAATAGGGAACCTGATAAAATGTTTTGATAAAATATCTGCTATCCCAGCACAATCATAGAAAGCACAACCATGGAAATATATGAGAGAAACTGATAAATCAATGAACTATGTATATCGGGATGAACATAAACCTATCCGGGTCTAATGGTGCATTATTTGCATGCTGATTCACATTTTATCACCCTAGCATGAGCTGTTAATATCAGCATGCTATGGAGGTCCCGATTTGCAGCCGTCTTTGTATACAGCAAGAGACAGCAAGGCCATCACCCGGTGTACTGCAATCGTGGGAGAGGGTTGGAGAGTCTCTTCACATTTCTCTGCTGCCTGCCCTTTTCGTGTCCCTTGCTGTCCCTGTCAGAGATAGGATATATTCGTTCCGCTGGCTCGTTATCTGGCTTCGTCCCACTCAAAGGCTTGAAGGCTTGTTGACATCCCTTCGTTAGTCGCTGTCATTTGTCGCATTCGTTAGTCGCTGCCGACAGCTGCCTTCCTCACCTCCGCCAAACCTTCGGATCCAATCAGTGTTCCAGTAAAGTCAGACTCCGTGATCCCTCTCCTCCTCCCCAGCTCTGCCAGCTCTCTCTCTCTCTCTCTCTCTCTCTCTCTCTCTCTCTCTCTCTCTCTCTCTCTCTCTCTCTCTCTCTCTCTATCTCTCTCTCTCTATCTCTCTCTCTCTCTCCACCTCCCTCCCTCCCTCCCCTCTTCTTCTCCCTCTCCGTGTCTCCACCTATCTTAGAACCTTCTCGGTGCCCACTTTCCTGTCAGACCCCCTCTCCTTGACCCAACCTCTCTGTGCCACTCCTCCCCGTATCCCCGCCGTTGGTCGGGCGGAAGTGCCAGCCTCGCCAGCTGCCGCTCTCACTCTTCGAACGGTTCTCTCGGCCTTTTTCTCCGGCTCAGCCACTCCTTTGGTTATCGTTTCATTTATTCCGCGGTCGGCTACCGCCCGCCGGCATTCACTGCGCTGACTTCCGTGATCAGTTCTTTGTCGCGCTGCTCACTCAGCGATGAGCTTATCACTCACTCATTGGTCTTTTTTAGAGTCGGTCTTTTTTTTTCTACATGCAGAATCGGCTTTGCAGACCACTGGGCAGCCATACCTAAAAGTACTCTAGTAAAACTTGTCATTAATCCCGACCGCAAGCCTATGCTCAATGACTTTTATAACACGTTTGTTAAGTAATTTTTCATCACCACTTTGTTTCACCTCTGCCAACCCCTACGCTGCTTCCTACGCTACGCCTCTCATCTCCGCCACCGTCTCTCTCCCTACACCTCCTCAGTCCAGCTCTCATCAGCCCAGCTCGGCTCCCGGTCTCCGCTCGACTCCGCTCTCGGCTCGGCTCCATTTAGCCCAGTCCGCAGCTCTCCACATTAGCTCAGCCCTTCTTATCAGCCCAGTTCGGCTCCCAGTCTCCGCTCCGGCTCCGCTCTCCGCTCGGCTCCATTCGGCACCGTTGTGGCCTCGGGGGGCGGTCCGACCGGCCATGATCGGTCCGTCCGTCCCGGTGACCCTGTGGGCCGTCCGCCGCACATCCCTACCTGCCGCGCCCGGCGACCGGCGACCGCTCGCTGCGGCCCGTTATGTTGATGCTCTGTGCACGGTGCGGCTCGAGTGGTCTGTTGCACGGTGACCTGCGGCTGTAGTGTCCGGGAGTGACATGCGCTGGTGTATCGTGTATCTAAGATTTTCTGTTGTTTCTCTGCTGTTTGCTATTTAGGTACTAGAGCTCCTCTTGCTGCTTGGGCTTTTCACTTGAGATTACAATAATCTCAATAGCATAGTGACTTTCCGCATTACCATGCTGTCAGCTTTCCAAGTTTGTTCAGCAGCATAGCTCAACCAGCTTCCACGGACTTTTCTTTCATAACCGGGCTCGTTAGTTCCCCAGTGCAGCCGTTCAGCAGTATTACCGGGACTGCACTGCCCTGTGTCCTCTCCGCCGCTCTGCGGTACGGAACGGAGCTCCCTGCTGCAGCGGGGCCGTGTCGCACCGAGGTGATGATGGGTAACATACACCGGCGCTGACGTAGCCATCACGACTGACGTGGTCATCAGCGCTGACAGTGATGTGACGTGATGATGTGCTGCGTCTGCGGCCTGTGTGTATAAGAGTGTGCGTCAGTCAGTGAGGGCGCCAGGCAAACTCATCACCGGGCTCAATGAAAGACAGCTGCGATACAGTCGAATGCCAGCGAGCGACTAGCGGACTGGGACTCAGTGGAAGACGGCTGCTACCCAATCAAACACAAGCGGTCATTCTCTTCGAGAAGTCTCTATAAAGACTGCTGTTCAGCGTGGTTTGAAGCTTTACCTTCCGTCATTAGCTCCGTCTGCTCAGCCCATTACGTGTAACTGACCGGGACGGTCGGTCGCGGCGGGGGATAACGGTGCTGTCTCGTCTCCTCTGTGGAGGTACCATCCCGTGCTGCATACCACAGATCCTTTTTAGGGCCATCCGATGCTGCATACCAGCACTGACAGCATCTTCTCCCTGTGTGCTATCCCGTGCCATGCATGGTGTCCAACCGCTACCGGATAATGAAACCACGGTATTTATGGTTGACGGTGTATTAACAACGTCCAACCCATTAGGGGCTGGAAGCTCTGAGTTGGGACTTGAAGCGGCGAATTAAGGGGAGCGAATGAAGGATCTCTCTCTCTCTCTCTCTCTCTCTCTCTCTCTCTCTCTCTCTCTCTCTCTCTCTCTCTCTCTCTCTCTCTCTCTCTCTCTCTCTCTCTCTCATTTGCGACGACTTTCTCATTAGTCAGAGCTGTTTGCCTAAGCATCAACCTTACCATCGGTGTCATATGCCTGGCAGTCTCACACAGGGGAGTCAAGTATAGGGCACTGCACCTCTACCTCTCATCCCGACTCCTGAGCCCTCCGCTCGCTGGCCCGGCAGTCGGCACGTCACAGCTCGGTGGGGGAGGACACCGGACGTCGGCCTCGGGCTCTTGGCACTCTGTTTTTACCCCGCGGCACGTCACCCGCTCCGTATTTCGGTGCCTGAAAGACGGCGGCGGCAGGCGGCGGGGGGAGTGGCTGCTTTTTATCGCCGCGGGCCGTCTGCATGGCAGTGAGAGCGGTATGCGCTATAGAGACTGAAAAGGTGCCAATGCGATAGGTGATGGGAGCTGCTTATTTTGGTCTAGACGATATGGTTTGGTGAGACGGTTTGGGATGGGGTTGAGCAGCGGCAAAACGGGATATCATCATCGGCATCACTGGGCACAGCGTCACGAAGTGTCATGCTACATCTCACCAAGCTACATCGCTTGATGGGAGGAGTGTGACAGCGTCACCGACGCCATTGTTGGTAATTGTGACGCATGGGCCGCCGGTGGCCGGCTGTCACGTCTCCGTATCACGTGAGCTCGTCACGTCGGTCACAGGCGTCACGTGTGACGTGGTTACCATAGGCTTCAGACTGTGACAGCTCAC